TGGATGACATTCTGTTGCTATTTATTCCTCAGTAGAATAATAAGAATTTTCCTGTATTTTAATTAACTTTTCATTTTGTAGCACAATTTCTGCTTCTTTAAATGTTTCTCTACATGCAGTTGTTTCTGTATTTTCTGTGTTTTTATATATTCTTTGTTTTATTAGTTGGAGTTGTCCTTTTCCTCCTGGTTTATTATATGTTTTATAAAAATTCTTTTTTGAGTTTATTCTCTGGCTTAATAAAATATACAGTTTTTGTTCTATAATTAAAAATAATATTACTTGCACTATATATCTTTTTGGTAGATTATAAGGATCTTTAAATATTATTTGTCTTTCTGTATGGGCTAATATTTTAGGTATTATAAGTTGTTGCTATAATAATTCTATATTCTCTTGTAAGTAGTTCACATCTTGTATTTTGTAATTTATTTCAAATTAGTTCAAGTATTAGTTTATATTGTTTCTGTCCTTTATATTGTATCTATTATTGTTTATATTTATTTTTATATTCTTTAAAATTTTTAAACTTTTTAGTATATATATTTGATATAATTAATAATTCTATTCTTTTTTTGTATATTCTTTTAAGAAATCAAATATAATCTTTTTGTATATACTCTTTTTTGTATTTTTTTTATAGTTTTTCTATTGCTAATAATGTTATATATTTCTAATTTATAGCTTCTGTAATAAGTCTTATTTCTTCTACTATCTACCAATAGTCTTTGTTTTTAAAGCAATTAAATATTGTTAATATTTTCTTTTTCAAAGTTTTACTCTATAGTATTATTTTTGTTAATTCTTTTTCAAGTTCTTTTTTTAAGAATTTTAATTTTTCTAATGATTGTTTTACTGTTAATTTTCTTTTTAGTTTTCTTTTATTGTCAAAAGATTTATTTTCTATACAATAGTATTCTTCAAATAATAATTTTGGGTTTATCCACTTCCAATATATTATTTAAGTACTAATTCTTTTATTTTTTCTAATTTTAAAAGTTTTTTCTTTAAATTGTATAAATTATATTTAGTTTTTTCAATGAATAATTTGTGAATTCTTCAAAAGTAAAGTTTTTTAAATATTTTTTATTTTTTTTTCTTTTTATATTTTTTTTTTAATTATTAATTCTTTTCTTTTATTAAAAGATATTAACTATTTAAGATATTCTTCTGTAGTCTTATATCTGTTTCTTGTAATCTTTCTATTAAGTTTCAAATATGTTGTGTTTTTTTTTTTGAAATTAAAGTATATGGAGGGTGTTAGTAGAAACTAAACAAATTGTTTCTAAATAATTTTTTTTTAGGTTTTGAATTAAAATATCTCAACAACTATTAAACCAAACTTGATAAACATTTTTTTATTTTAATTTTATATAGTTATAGAATTAAAATAATAAAAAATTTATTAAGTTTAGTTTAATAGCTATCGAGATATTTTAATTTAAAGTTTTAAAAAAAACTTACTAAAAACAATTTGCTTAGTTTCTACTAATACCTCCCTATATATTATAATATTTATTTGTTGTAAAGTCTCTTTTTAGAATATTTTTTTAAAAATTTTCAATTCTATTTCTTTTATTTTTTTTATAGTTTTTTTGGTAGAATAATAGTATCTTTTAATTTTTTCTTTATTTTTTCTATTTTGAAGTATTTATATAAATAATATTTAAGTTTTCTTTAGTTATTTGTCTTTACTTGGTAATTTATTTTTAATTTTTGAAATAGATCTTCTATTATTTTTTAATTAGTTTTTATTCTCTTAAATTTTTTTAAAAATTTTTATTTCTTTTTTATCATATTGTGTCTTTATTTCTTTATTGTATTTTATTTGTATAGATAATTTTTTGTTTAAATATATATTTTTTAATACTTTTAAAAGTTCTATTGTTACTATTCATAGTTCTACTAGTATAATATAATTATTGGTTCCTTTTTGTTTCTCAAATAAGAAATCTATTCTCTCATATTACACTACATGTAAAACACAATAAAATACTAAACTAAACTTTAATTAACAAAACTTATACAATTATCTTCTAGGTTTAAAACACATCTCCCTTATTACTACTAAACCTACTCTAACAAAATCTATAGATACAACAATAAATGCCTATATTAAAATAACTTAACAAGCTTAAAACTTATTAAAACTCACCATCACACCACATTAGCCAAATTAAACAGCCAAATAGTCACCAAATCCAATTATTTCGTCCCTAAACCTAAATTTTAATCAACAAATTGTATATTAAACAACTATCTAAAACACTTAAAAATGTTTTAAAAAATCGTCTGTACCAATAACAAATTAACCCATCTTCCACACAGACTAACCCATCTTTCTACCTTCAATGCATCACATTAAGCATACAAATTTATTAAAATAACACATCATAATTCAAAGAACATCAATTATCTCAATCAAAATCCACATTAGATACTAATAATCAAATTCTTCAAATTTTCAAATAATTTATAAATGCACTGTAATTAAAATTGAAAATTACATTTTACAAATTTACAATACATTAATTTTATGTAAGCTTCAGTAACATAAATTTCATATAAATATTACATGTGATATATAGTACCGGCACTATGAAAAACTCAGCTAGAATTATTAATCTACAGTAGATTCTACATAAAATTCACGGACAAATCGATAACATACAACCAATCATAAGAGGATATGATCACATTCTTACAATTTACATGAAAACATATTACTGAAAACTTACGCAAAATTTCACAAAATCATATAAAATCACAATAATTTAATAACCCTAACTATAATGCTAATAACAAAATTCCATTAAAATATTATTGCATATTTTTAAATTAAAGCAACATAATCACCTATTTAATTAAATTCGAAAATCAATAAAATACAAATTAACCTATATTTATACGTATTTCATCATACCAAACACCTTCAACAATCAAAACATAAAGTAACAACCAAAACATAAAACAAAAATAATCTTCAACATTACGCTATCCTATCCTATCTATCTGCCATAACATTTACTTAAAACTAAAATATTTTAAACAAACACTCTCGATCTATTTATCAGACTTAAACACTTATATGTAACATAATTATTCTAATTAACAAATTTAACTCTATAAAAATTACCTTCTAAATAACATAATCTATTACACAACCTATTCCCACCAAATATCCCAATAATTTACATAATTACATTCTCTTTATCAATCTAAATTACATCCAAATATACAAAATATACCAAATCATTCTCTATAACTTAACTCATCTTTAATTTAAATAAATATAATTACAATTTTTATTCTCTGCAACTTAACCAAAGCTCTAGTTATTTTAGCAATTAAATTAAAACATTCCATTTAATATATTTTGGCAATTATTAAATTAAAACTTCTTATTTAATTTATTTTTGGTAATTCTATTTATTAATTACAATTGTTACCTTTCTTCTTTTAGTTAGCTGGACGCATTTGCATGGAAGCTGCAAAATCACAGGGTTTATCGTAATTTTATGATCACGATCTGAAATGAAAGTTTTGATTGTATGATGCAGTTAATATCAATATGACTGATAGATAAAAATGCATTTAATGTCTTGGATAGTGCTGAAGTATGTATCTATTTAATGTGCGATTTTCAACAATTTTAGGTGCATGGTTTTTTTTTTTTTTTTTTTAACAGTTAGGGTAGGATTTAAGACTAGAATTGTTAACAAAAGAGTATAGATGGGTTTTAGTATGGCTTCTATTTTTAAGCGAGACAATTTCAGTATTATCTGCGACGTTTAATAGGTATATTCGAATTTAGTAAGTATAAAATCAATTCAATATTCAATGCATTTAAATAAACTACAACAATCAACCCATTTTGTTCACATTAATTTAATGAATAAAAGATTATTTATTAAGCGATAATTCATTCAAAGTTTACACAATATTTTACATTTATAATTGCATCTTTTAAAATAGGAGAAACGCACCCGATCCAAACTTAACCTCATACCTGTGTGCGTTAAAAAATTATTTTACAATGATGGGTCACTTAACCGCCAATGTTACAAATATATCCCACACAGTTTGGTTCGGATACGTTGCCTTTTACAGCTATTGAATCATTTCTTAGCTACAACCTTTTTTGATGGTACTTTATTTTAGATATTCGATTTGATGATGCTTTCGACTTTTGATAACTAATTAGCCTTAGGCTTTGCAATTCCGATACAATAGGTTTATTGCGATTATTTCGTGTGCAAGCATTTTAGTAGTCAATTTTTGGCATTTTCGGTTCCAATAGCATTATAACTTTAGATTTCACATTTTACATGATGAATTATTGAAAAGCCTGTCAACGAAGTGACAGGGCGATCATTATTGCGGATCAGATGACTTTATAACCGATCACATACAGTTTTTGTTATGTATCCTTTTATGGTTATTCTTTGATTATTGTCGTGAGATTTTGTAACTTGTTTTTTACAGGTAATTTTAGATTGCATATGATTTGATATTCACATGGTTATGATTATTGTTAGATCGATAGTGGAGGTAAGGGATAATGACTGTGGCCGAGTATGAACCAGTGATATGGGAGGAGTATTTAAGGCCAAGAAATTCAGTAGAGAAGGTTATCTTTCTTTTCGCTATCGCTCGCCTTGTAAAGGCTGGCTCTATCTCCCTCCCTTACCCACCCGAAATCAAGTAAGCAGTGTTGTTTCTTTTGTTGTATCAGGCTCCACGGCTGCATTAGCAGTGCAAGGACCTTGTAGTGTACCTGGCTCCACGGCTGCAAGTGGCAGTGCAAGGACCAGATGTAGTTTTGGATCCACGGCTGCGAGGGGCAGTGCAAGGACCAATTGTTGTATTTGGCTCCATGGCTGCAAGTGGCAGTGCAAGGACCAGTTGTTGTAGTGGCTCTACGGCTGCAAGTGGCAATGCAGGGACCATAAGAATGAACCTCGATCATTTCAGCAGAAACATAGTTACCGATTCTCTTTTCAGCTATGAGAATTTTCAATGATTCCCTCTGGGTGAAGGTATGCGGATCCATGAATGGTTTCGGATCGTCTCTGTACCTGTGGGGCAGACAGGACACTATGGGTGTCCCTTTGCGTTTTATTGTGTGATGAATACATGTCGCTATGATGGAAAATGTAATCATGTATATTAGAGCCAATAAGGGTAGCGAGCCCTTATCCCATATGTTCTTCAGATTTTGTAAATAAAGTCATTCAGTTTTTTGTATAAAGTCAGCTGATCGAGCAATAATAAAAACCAATAATATTCTCTTAGATTAGCGATCAACGGATATGTCCCCAATTTTCATGATCTGATGCATGTTTATAGTAAATCTGCACATCATTTTTTATGATTTAATATGAAAAAACGCAACTGAAAGACATGTTTTTTGCATTACGCCATTTGGTATTAGTAAACCCAAAGGTTTAATTAGCACAAAAGTAAGCTCTGAAATATTACGTTACATGAGTGTAGATTTTATTTATTTATATATGTTCAATTTAAAAGCACCTTAACTCAAAGTTAATGTGGGAGCTTTGCTAGAAAAATAGGGTTCCGAGGTCTCTCCAATCAAAAATGAGATTTTCGTTGCATATTAAAAACTTCAATCACTTTATATAGAGATAACGCATAAATATTTCCTAACTTATCAACTTCAATAATGTATGGCGTATTTGTCTGTCATCAAAGTCGATAATCTAAGTAAATTTTAAAGTTATTCATATGATTAGTGATATGCATAAACATACTTCCTAAGTTATTGTCTTCAATAAAAAATAAATATCGTGTGTCAAGAGTACGAGTTAATATATACATATTTGTTTGCCACCAGTGAAAAGTACTCCATCTTTATATGATGCATATAAAAGAAATATCAAATCCAAAGCACGTATTTGTGTAAAGTCACTTCAATCACCATAAAACCATGCACTCCGTTCCTGGTATAAGCAAAAACAAGAAATAACTTGTATTTGTTATATTTTATCAAATCCATTTTAAACACGTAAACTTTTTTTGTTTATAGAAATCATGCGATGTATACGATAGACAAAACCAGTAAGATAGAGGCCTGCATTGGGTCCCGGGCCACAAAAATAGGGCCCTTACAGTAAGATCAGTAATAAATCAATTAGAAAACGAGGCATGACTTTAAACCTGAAATGCTTACTCAAAATTTTTCTTTATAAACGAAATGCACGACAAAAAAAAAAAAAAAAATGGGAAGGGATGCACATACACAAATAAGGCACCTAAATATGCGCATACATTGCCTCATATAACGATAATAATAAGCTATATTCATAGGAGGACTTTCGTTTGATTGGTAGATCTACCCGTGATTTCCCGTGATAATTAACCAATCAAAATACAAAAGATTTATCATTATCGTTTCCATACTATATACTAGAAAACGAAAAAACTTCACAAAGAAGCTTATAAACTAATAAATACACGCAAATGATTTTATATTTTAGTTATCATGACCTTTATTAAAGACGTGGCATAACCTTTAGACCATATAATTAATAGAACAAGAGTATTTTATACGTATAATCGCTTATTACACCTATTGCTATTACTTAACCCAAGTTACGCTTACTGATCTAACAGTTCTAACAGTTTAATACTCAGAATACGCAAAATAAACATTAGTACTGATCTATTATTATTATAATAGCATGTCAAACAAAGTATACAAAGTTCTTTAAATTTAAAGCTTACACAGTATAACGTCTCAATCTTCTTTTTTGCTGACCGTTTCCAGCATTTAGAACTTACATATAGCTACTATAACTAGTACTAGCAACGAATAGTAAAAATATTCGTTTCTAAGTGAAGTTCTCAGGGATGTTGATTATTTTTTGATTATTTTTTACAGTGTATATAGACGTTCTTTAGAAGCTAGGAATGGCTTTTACGGTGATTTTTTGTTAGTGAAACGTTGAGTTTCCAAAAAGTACTTTAAAGCATATAAATTAGTTACCCGGGCAATTGAATCAATCAGCCAATCATACGAATGTCCCCCTATGAAAGCTATATTAAACCGGCTGCACTCCATTCATATGGACCAATTATATCTAAGATTTTGCAAGCAAATATTGCTTCCTTATTTAGCATTGTTTTCATTTAACTAGCATGTAAATTCCTGGTATATAAACCATTACTCGGGGTGTAACTGTAGATCAGTATTTCAGTATTTATAATAGATTTTCGTAAAATGCAACTTTATTTCTTGTGATAACGATAACGATAATCTGGATCCTCCTGATTTTAGATTTGGATAGGATCTTCGTAAAGTATTTTTGTACTGCACTGCATATATCACATACCGATACATGCATATTTAAAGCCGTAGTAGTCTTACGCTAGGAAATTACGCTAATTATTCCATTTTTGCTGTTTTATTTTTCGATCTTTGTTATCCGGTGTTACCCGATGGCGACCATGATTTTCCGGAATTATCCGATAGAATTCCAAGGGAAAACCAGACTTCAGGCTTTTAAAATCTATAATTTACTGAACTAAAACATGTTAGCAACAAATAAAATTGTAAGCCCGAGATCTGGTTTTCCTTTGGCAACTTTAACATTAAAAAATAAAAAAAAAAGGTATAAAAAAATCAAAAAAAAAAATCGACCGACCGATCCAATTTTTTGATTCTATGTAATGCAAAACGAAAAATCAACTTTGCGTGGCCTTGTCTGCGTGAAGGAAATTTTCACAAATACTGTATTTTTAAGTGTGCACATATAAGGATATTTTTAATGAATCAGTAATTTAAAATATTTAAATTTTTCACGTAAAAGATTGTGGGGTGAGAATAACACGTATTAAAAAAATATTCTCGTATTCCAGCGCTATAATGTTAACGTCGATATCGATATGTAATTCCGTAAGATTAAAACAGCTTTTAACTCGTTATTTATTGTTAATTTATCATGAGACTTTATCAGGATAAAAACTAAATTGATTCCTACGGCCATGAGGGCCGTAGGAGTTTTAAAAAATTAAAGCTGATTCTCAATAGCGTTATTGTAAAATTAAAATTTTAATATTTTAAATACTGTATGAGTTTTTTTTTTTTGCCATGAACCTATTTATAATTCTCGCATGGGCTCAAATTGCGGACAAAATTTTCGACCGTACTCCGATGCATATCGATATACTAAAAGTTAAATTCCAAAAAAATCTATTTGTGACACTTTGCAATAACGATAAATACGTACTGTGAAATTTTTTAAATCTTTAATACTGGGCAGGAAACCATGAATACAACATCAGAAACTTATGAAATTGATTCGAACTTAAACATTATTAAAAACACGCTAGGTGTAATTGGAGCTATCGGAGACGCAGCCCAACCATACTTACCTCTAATTTCGACTGTGACAACTATTATTACAGAAATATTTAATATTTACGAAAATGTTCAATATAATAAAAATATTTGTAACTCTTTGATGGACCGAGTAGCTGCTGCTGAGGCAGCTATTAAAATTTTAGAAAGGAGGAAACAAAATTATGAAAAAAATTTCCGTGATATCAATTACTATAAAACCTTCTTAAAATTCATCGACGTGATGGAAAGGATGAAACAATTCATTAAAGATGTGTCAACCCTATCTGGGTTTAAAAAGTTAATGCATGTTAATTTTGTTAAAGAAAAGTTCGGATCGCTTATTAATGAATTTGAAACTACCATGAATGATTTACAATTTGCAACAATGCTCTTTAACGACGAACAGAGAGAAATAGATGCAATAGCTCTTAAGTCTGACCTAGAAGAAATGTCAAAGGTAAATTTTATATCAATTAGTGAATTTATGAAATTTTCAAGTAATTAATTCATAAGTTAAAATTACATAGTTTTTGGAAGTAATTGGCGGTGGTGTCGTTGATGCTAATCAAAATATTAACAATGTTCTGAAAGAAGTATTAATTATTAAAAATCAATTGAGATGCCAAAATTCTATTATTAAAAACATCAGAGCGACTGAGATAGAGCCGAGAGAATTAAATGACCCTCAGATTGGAAATTCTACTGACACACGAGGCAATAAAGAATCACCTCTCGTTAAGAAACTGCTAAATGGAGCTATTGAAGTCGCCTGTAAACGAACAAAAATTATAGATGATGGTACATCTGAAAGTCAAAAAATTCAAACTCAGCTTGCCATATTAGGAAAATTGAAAGATTCTCCTAATATCCTTAAATTTTATGGTATTTCAAAAGTTGCAAACTATCAAGTTATGGTTTTTGAATGGGCAGAACATGGCACACTTCAAGAATTATATGGTAAAAATGATATTGCATGGCGTTCAAAAGTACCAATAGCTCTTGATATTTGTTGTGGTCTCGTATTTTTGCATACCTGTGAAATTCTTCATCATGATATTAGGTGTGCGAATATTTTAGTAAGTTCGTAAATTTATTATTACAATTATGGAATCAATATTTGTGAACTATAATCATAATAATAAACAAACTAAACAGATGACCTCATGACTCGAGCCGAAGATAGCAAATTTTAGATATGCTCATCACGATTCATCGCATACCAGTAAAATAAATTGTTTAAATGAAATCATACATTGGATGGCTCCCGAAAAATTAAAGGAAAC